TTTGACAAAGAGCCAAACATCTTCAGTGGAAGGTACTTTTGTTAATAAATGGGGCTGGAAAAAACTGGCTTTCCACATGCTAAGGATTAAAACTAGACCCATATCTTTCACTATGCACTAAACTAAAAATGAAATGGTTCAAAGATCTAAATACTAAGACAGAAACAATCTGCTGAAAGATAGAATAGGTAGAACTCTTGAAGACATTGGTGTAGGAAAAGACTTTATGAACAAAACTCTGATCACACAGGAAATATCACAAAGAATGAACAACTTCATCACAAAGAATGAACACCTTATTAAAATGCTTTTCCACAGCAAGAGAAACTACCAACAGAGTGAAGAGACGAGCCCTAGTATGGGAAAAAATTTTTGCCAGCTGTTCCTCAGACAACGGATTAATATGCAGGATATATAAAGAACTCAAAAATATCAGACCCCTGCCAAATTTGGAGACCCAATCCAAAAGTGGGCATCTGAAATGAATAGGCACTTCTCAGATGAAGTAGAAACAGCAAGATATGTGAAAAAAAAAAAAAAAGTTCAATGTCACTGGTCATTTGAGAGATGCAAATTAAAATAACACTGAGGTTCCATCTCACCCCAGAAAGAATAGCTATTATCAGGAAATTAACCAGTAACTAATGCTGGCTGGGCTGTGAGGAAAAAGGAACACTTCTCCACTGTTGGTGGCAGTGTAGACTGGTACAACCATCATGGAAATCAGTGAGGAGATACCTCAAAAAACTAAACTAAAAACAAACAGAAAACTAAAATTAGAGGTTCCATCTGACCCAGCTATTCTTCTTAGTATCTTCCTGAAAGAATTAAAAGCATCATACTACAGTGTTATATGCACACCTGTGTTTATAGCAGCAGTTTCTAATAGTTAAATCTTAGAAACAGCCCAAATGCCCACCAACCGATGAATGGATAACCATGCTACTCTGCCATAAAGAAGGATAAGCTTGAGACATTTCTAGCTAAACAGATGCACCTTGAGACCAGTGTGGTTTTTTTTAATTTTTTTTTTTTGTCTTTTTAAGACAGTCTTGCTATGTAGTTTAGGCTGGCCTTGAGCTCACTTTGTAGCCCAGGCTGGTCTTGAACTCACAAGGATCCTCCTGCCTCAGCCTCCCAAGTGCTGGGATTACAGGGTTGTGCCACTGTGCCCAGCCCCGAGACCAGTCTTAAGTGAAATGAATCAGACACACATTTATATATCAAAATGCTTGTCCAGTATGAGAAACCAAAAGTGTAAGTAAGGACCAAAATATACATTGGGTATTGTGAAATAGGGAGAATATGTTCAAATGGGGAGGGGAGCAAGGGAGCGGGGAGAAGACAAGGAAAGATGGGAAAAGTAAAAAAAAAAAAAAAAAAGGTGAGGACAGAATAAATGGAAACAAAAGCTTTTGTAAATGGGGAGGGGAGGAGAGGTTGAAGGGAGGGTAGGCGAATGGGAATGTACAGGTACAAATTCTCTGTGATGTGATCATTACATATATCTAAAATGTACCAATAAAACCTGACTTTAGAAATTCTTGGAAACAGCCCACATCCTCACCAACCAATGAATGAATAAAGATGTGGTTTTTTTTTTTTTTTGTACTGGGAATCAAACTCAGGACCTTGTCCTTGCCAGGCAGGCACTTGTGCTGCTGTTTATTTTTTTTCTTTTTAAATACAATGGAGGGTTTCCTGGAAGGAGGGCTTCCAGCGCACAGGGAGCTGCAGGTGGGGAGCGCCAGCCTTCTGGCTGGCTAACTTCCTGCCTGCTGGCTCCCGGAGGGTGGGCCCCTAGCGCACGGGGAGCCTCGGGCGGGGAGCGCCGGTCTCTGGACCGACGACTCACTCCCGGCCTCGGGGTTTCCCGGAAGGAGGGCTTCCGGCACACAGGGAGATGCGGGTGGGGAGCGCCAGCCTTCTGGCTGGCTAGCTTCCTGCCTGCTGGCTCC